ACAAATACTAATCTGAACATTTGTTGTGATTTTCACAAATACTGTTGCATTTTGACACTTTGCAATGTTCTGTGGTGTTGAACGTAGCCTCATTTTTCTCTGTGTACAATATTAATACTTTCATTTACTCAGTTCTTTCCCCCTAGGCTTCTGTCAAATAATGTGTAGAAAAGGTCAAATAAGCCAACTTCAAGTGCTTTAATACTTTAAAATGCAAAGCTTATGGCAAATAAAGGCGATTCAAACCTCCTGAACTTTTTTCTGTTGAACTTCAGAAAAGCTTTTATGAATAAAATACATGCGTAAATAATAAAAAATTACAAGCAAACGACTTGAATATTATATCTTTTTTTCTGTTTTATTCAACAACAAATTAAAATTAGACATAATGAAATTTTGATACACGAGAAACGTTAATTATATTATTGCAATCAGATGAATTGTCTGCATTTTTTAAAAATACAAATTAAATAGAAAATCAAATAGAAGTAGAACTTCAAAGATCTTGGATACATATTTAGAAAGGTTTTCGTAAATCGTTTTTTTGTTGTTGAAGAATTACTCAGTTCCATCATTGGGTTTGTGTTTATTCACGGTGGAATATAGTTGATATCCATAGGGAAGAGCGTATAGATTTGATGAATGTTGTCTTAGTTTGGTTAATGTAGTATCTCTTGGCATACTGTAACCATAGCCAACGTATGGTTGATCTACTTTAATCTCCTCGTAATCGCTTTCGTTTTCGTTGCCGAATGGCATTTCGTTGAATCTGCTCACTCGATTGAATCGCTCAATAGTTGTAACTTGGTTTCGAACTGGAGTACTCAATTTAGGCCTTTCTGCTATGTTGATCGGTTTCGACGGTTTCAAAAAACATCTTCGACAAAAAACACAACAAACAACTATGACTACAATTATTATGATGAAAACAATTGCAGCGGTAATAATAATGATGTATGGTGTTGTTGACGGAAAAGGGGATTCATTACGAATTCCAGATGTTGGTGTAGTCAATGTATTAACTTCTTCATCATTAGGTTTTGATGTTGTCGTACGTTCTGTGGGGTCGCAGTCAACGCCATTGATATTGACATTTTGAGTTGAATTATTGACCAAATGGAATTCTTCTTTTTCAAACCATAGTCCAAGGAACTCTTTCAAATCAATGCAGTTGAATCGATTCTTGTTAATTGCAAGTCGATTAAGGTTGGGATACTTAAGTGGAGTAATGCTATCTATGGTGATCAATCTATTGAATTCCAAATTCAAAGAGCTGATTGTTGAAACTATCTCGAAATTTACTTCTGTCAGATAGTTGCAAGACAGATCGATCGATATCAGCGACTGCTGATTATAAAATGCTTTGACTGTAATAGTGAATATATTTGCATGGCTCAAATTAAGATGCTGTAATTTGGAAAATTTCCCCACAACGCTGTTATCTAATTGTTCGATGTTGTTTTTCGAAAGGTCCAATAGTTTAAGAGGTTTTGCATTCAGTTTTCTTAATAGCTCCGTTGTACATTTCCATTCATTTCCGGAAGCATTGAACCTTTGAATATTGTTCAAATGTTTTACGTTACCGAGAACCTTTGCAGAATGGTTTGAAGTGTTGCTGCAACTGCAACTCACATCCAGCGTCTCAATTTCCGAAGGAAGGTGTACCTCAACATTCGCTACTGGCGACAAAATGCTGAAACTAAAGCTTTTCAGCGGATTGCCTCTCAGGATCAACATCCTAAATTTGATGTTGTTTTTAAATAGATTGTTGTCTAATATCACTGGTATTTTGTTATCGCTTAAATCCAAATATTCAAGGTTGTAAAGCAGTGAGAAGGTACCAGTTTCAATGCTGTATATTTGATTATTCCTTAAATCCAATTTCCTTAGCTCTGGAGTTTTATTAAAGTCAACCTTATTGATGGACTGAATTAAATTTAATGATAGATCGATTTCGCTTACAAATGGCAAATGCAAGAGAATCTGCTTCAGAACATTATTCAGAGTATTATTTGAAGCACTGAGACTTGTTATAGTAATTTTATCCAACGTCACGAACAAGTTTTTCAATTGACCAAAATTATAACCATTACTCGATTCCCATTGGATCACATCTATTTTTTCTAAATTGGCTATTTTTTCCAGAACATCTGTTTCAAATTCAATCTCACTGACATTCTCTTTACATTCATATTTTATCACTTTTACCATTGGAAACTCTTCTTCGAATGTACTATTTGAACATGGAGGATATTCCCAGGCTTGAAACCAGACCGTAGTATCAACTTCACTCAAAATAACGAACAAGCACACAAAAATTATCACGAGTTCCATTGCGTTAAGTAAAACATGTACGTGACAATTTCTTTTTTTTTTTGAAAATAATTAGTATCTCGACTGATCCAAACGACAAGATCCGTACTAGTTGCTAACTAAAAGCTAGCAAAGAATGAAAATACATTTTTGTATTCGGCCATTTCAAACACAACAAATCATAGTCGCTGAGCTATGATTAATACAGAAAATATTCCATAATTCATGGAAAAGAAATATTCATTCGTTGATAAACGGTATGAAACATGTAATCAAAAAGTTGATTCATGGCTTTAAATGGGGCCAATCCGACAAGAAAAGCTGACACATTCAAAAAATATATCAAATTGTCTACGCATTCTGCAAAAAATTCCATAAAAAGTGAAATAAAAGCATTTATTACTTAACTAAAAATTTGGTTTAGGAAATGTTCATTTTTCTTCAGAAATCAAGCAATATTACTTACTTGTCCCATTAGGATATCATATTATATATTCAAAATTTCAACTTAATTTGTGTAAAAATTCTTGTTCTAATTTCTAATTCCAAATAGAAACGTTGAAAATTCACTATTGCTCTAATAAAAATGCAGTACAAATTATATGCTCAAAATATTCTTTTTGAGTATCAATTTTATTTTCAAAGCATAATCAAAATATTGCTCACTGAACAACATTATTTCATGAATAATATTCATCTGAGGTGAATCATCATAATATATTCCTTTTTACATGAATAGCGCGATAAGAGCTTGCTTAATAATCTTTTTCCATGGCCTAATCAGTAAAGAATAAACACAACCCAATTATATTACATTCATTTTGTTTAATTGAAATGAAGACCATACAAAAATAAAATTTGATACATTTTTCAATTAACGAATCAAAAAAATTTCTCAAAGAAGGCGATAATGTCAGCGAACTCATTGATGAAGTGTTGATTTTGGTTTAGAAATTGTAGCATAATGATGATAAACAGTTGCATATTCATTTGATTTTAAAGAAGCGTTGTAATTTTGATAACGATCTAAGGTTGTGGTGTGTGTTGGGGCATTTTCATAATGCGGCATGTGATGGAGTGTGCTCACAGCGTATGCGGTTGGTATGGGCTCTTTGATTTCCTCATATATAGACTCATCCGATAAAGTTGTAACATTGGTTCTAGCATTGGTTGAAACGGTGCTTAAGGGTAATCTAGCTGGTTTTATATGCTTTCTTCGATAAAAATACAAAATGATTGCCACAACAATTATAACGACGACGATTAGAACAACACCAATGATAACATACATCATGTTGGTCGATATATACAAATTAACGCCTGTAGGTGAATCCGATTTACTACCTTGTGATTCAGGTTTAGTAGTTGATGCTGCAGTAGTTCTTCCAGCTTCCGTCATTACTGTTTGTGTCGCAAATGACGTATTCATTTTCGCGTCAATTTTCACACCACGATACTTCCATTGCTCCAAAAAGTCTTCCAAATACACAGGATCAAGGGGATTCTTCAGTATTTTAAGAGACTCAAGCTTTAGCAAATTGTTCGGAGTAACCTTGTCAAGTTGAGTCAGTTGATTGCCCAATAAATTTAGAAATTTCAATGTCCAATGGAATGAAAAAACCACGTTGTTGATATTCTTCAATTTGTTGTCGGAAAGATCAAGTAAAATCAAATTCGATTGCCTCAAGAATGCGTTGTTTTCAATTTTGGATATATTTGAATGACTCAGAATGAGGTGTTGTAAACGGGTGAAGTTCTCCAACATGCGATCATCTAACGTTTCAATAGAATTTTGCGATAAGTCAAGACTTTCAACACTCGGTCCGATTTTTTCCAATAATTTCGAAATGTCTTGGTCGCGATTTGCAGCAGCTTTGAAAATGCGAATATTTTGGAAGAAATCATCTTCATAGAAATGCTTAAAATGACAAACTGTGTTCACACAACTTATATCGAGCTCTTCAATTTTATTTGACGGAAGGTGCACTTCAATCGAATCCGCTTCTGGTGAAAATGTGTTGAAACTGAATTTTTTCAATGACGTACCAATCAAATTCAACTCCTTCATTTTGGGATTATTTTCGAAAGAGCCATCGTTATCCTGTCCAATTTGAGTATTGCTCAGATCTAATATTTCCAAATTCTGTAGTGATGAAATTGATTTTGAAGAAAACTTTGTCAATGGATTATTGCCCAAGCGCAACTCTTTTAAATGTTTGTTGTAACCGAATGCAACTTCATCAATCTGAGCAATTCGATTATGACTCAAGTCCAAAATTTCAAGTCTTGGAAGCGTTGAAAGTGATCCAGAATCGATAATAGAAATAAAATTATGCGAACAATTCACCATTAACAATTTAACGTTGGCTTTTTCCAATTTTTTTAAATTCAGAACAAAAATTTCGTTATGCGAAAAGTCAATTTCGAACAGGTTCGGCATGCAGTCCAAACTCGAAACTGGTATCTGAGTGAGACGATTGTTTGTTGCCTTCCATCTTGCAATTTTATTTTCCGAAACAAAATTCGATTGACTCTGGATGAGGGTTATGTCGTTAATTCCAAGATATGATGTGTCCAACACACGTACGTTTTTGAAAGGATCAAAAACTTCCGTATAGAGTTTCAATAAATTCAATCCATGTTCACACAGATACGTTATCACTTCAACGTTTGATTGATTGTAGTACTGTTGATCTCCGACATTTAAACACTCTGATCTTCGAGATTTTCCATCAGACTTACATGTGTATTCGAGATATGCGGCATAATTATAATAATCTTTGGGATAACACTTGTAGGGAAATTCAGTGTCTATAAATTGAGCTGTAATTAATATGCACAAAAATGAAATAAAAACAATCACGTGCCTCATGTTGCAGACTGAAAAGATTTTGCGCCCAATTTTATAGACTGACTACATAAAACTGACCGTCAAGAAATGTATAGGCAGAATAATTACTCAAAGAGCTTTGCAAATGTCACATGACTTTGTTTGAGCAAATTATTTATATTTTTATGATTCATTGAATATCCGCTGATAGAGTTAATCTTCGTAAAACCCACGTTTAAAGTATTGTCGGACGAAGTGTCAAAAGAACAGTACTCGAACCAATTGAACAACAATATGTTTTAATGTAATCACTATTTATGTCAGCAAAAAAAGTATAGTTCATACATAGAAAGCAATACATAGGGTTTGATAACATTTTATATAATATATAATAAGCATCAGAACGCTGCTACACAGTGCAAGAAAAAACACGATATCAAAAGGAAAAACCCCATTAATTACTGACGTTAGTATTGAGTAGTTATGGACCAATGAATTCTTTTGTACATTTTCAACGAATAAAAAATTTGATTTTTATGAAGATTGTTTTATTTAATTAAAAAATAAATGAATACAAAATCATTTACTCGTGAAGCTCTTAGGCCATTGCTCCAAAATGCGATTGGAATTTCGGTTTAGAAACAGTAGAATAATGATGATAAATGTTTGCATATTCATTTGATTGCAACGAATTATTGAATTGGTGCACATCTTGATAACGATCCAAAGTCATGGTGCATGCTGGTGAGTTTTCGTAGTGCGACATGTGATTGAGAGTGGTAACAGCATATGCGGATGGCAAAGGGTCTTTGATCTCTTCATATGGAGGCTCCTCCGTTAAAGTGTTTACATTGGTTCTTAGATTGGTTGAAACTGTGCTTAACGGTATGCTTGCCGATGTTATGGGTTTTCTTCGACAAAAATACAAAATTACTGCTACAACAATTATTGTGATGACGATTAAAACACCAATGATAACATACATCATGTTTGTCGATATGTGCAGATTTATGCTTAAATCTGATTTATTTTCTGATTCATTGGTCTCAAACGTTGCGGTTTTTGATGGAGCTAAGGTTGTGGTAGAATCTGAAGTCGAAGTTGAGTCTAAGGTTGAACTTGACTCTTCTGTTGTAAGTGTTGGCGTGGCAATCGTTATAGCTGTGCTATCATCTGTCACAATGCTTTGTGTTGTTGGTGTTATAGCAAACGCATCTATTCTAATATCGTCTTCAATATCAATGACAGTATTAATCGTCACATTAGTAATCTTCCATTTTTCCAAGAAGTCATCCACATATTGAGAGTCAAATTGGTTCTTTGAGATTTGGAGCGACCTAAGTTTTGGCAAACATCTTGGAATAACGTTGTCAAGCTTCGTTAATCGATTGCCTGCTAAATTCAATCTCTGCAAACCGATGGGAAATATCACATTATCGATTTCTTCCAAAAAATTGAACGAAAGATCAAGTAAAATCATCAAATTCGAATTCGCTTGCCCCAGAAATGCGTTGTTTTCAATTTTGGATATATTTGAATGGCTCAGATTGAGATGGCGTAGATTAGAAAAGCGTAGCAACATATTATTAGTTAAAGTTTCAATAGAATTCCGTGATAGATCCATCATTATGACACTCAGTCCAATTTTATCCAATAATTTGGAAATATTTTGGTCACGATTTCCTGAAGCTTTGAAAACCCGAATATTTTCAAAGAAATCATCTTTGTCAAAGTTTTTGAAATGACAAATTGAATTTATACAACTTATATCCGGTTCTTCGATGCTATGAGATGGAAGATGCACTTCAACCAAATCCGCTTGTGGTGAAAATGTGTTGAAACTGAATTTCTTCAATGAGGTACCCATCAAATTCAACTCCTTCATTTTGGGATTATTCGCAAAGCAGCCGTCATTGATCTTTTGAATGCGAGTATTGCTTAGATCCAACAATTCTAATTCATGGAGAGGTGAAATCAATTTAGAACTGAATTCTTCCAATGAACTCTTAGCCAAGATCAACACTTTCATTTTTGTATTGTTCTCAAAACATCCATCGATGATCCTTTGAATACGGGTGTTGCTCATATCTAGTACATCCAGATTGAGAAGTGTTAAAAATATTCTAAAATCAAAGTCAGTTAATGGGTTGCTGCTCAAGTTTAACATATTCACTTGCGGTTCATTTGGAAAAAATCCATTTCCAAAGGCATTTTCATCGATTTTTACGATCTTGTTATGACTTAAATTCAACTTTTTCAGTTTTAAAAGAGTTGAAAATGTTCCATTGACAATATTTTCTATCTGGTTATATGAACAATTTATTATCGAAATATCGTTGTTCATGTTGAATTCATTTAAATTTAAGTATAGAATTTCGTTGTACGAATAATCAATTTCAGTTAGTCGTGGCATATAATTCAAAATTTCATGCGAAATCTTTTTGAGTCGATTCTTTGTTGCTTTCAAAATTGCTACTTGAAGTTGAAAATTGGTTGCAGGTTGATTGACAGAGAACGGAGTGTTTGGTTCAAATGCAATGAAGAAAATTCCTATTGATGTAATATCTAACACGCGCAAATGTTCAAACTCTCTTAGTTCATCTAGCCTAAGAACCACTGAGCTTGATTTTTTTCTGCACTCATATTTTATTATTTCCACCTTCGGATGTTCGAAGGGTCGTTCACATTCTTGGTTTGCTTTGGAATTACAAATATATTTTAGGTGTTCTGTACGATCACTACTTAAAAAACATCCACTGGAAAAAGGTGGATCTCTAAATTGAGCTCGAACTAATACAAGTAAAAATAATGCAAAAACGACTATATGTCTCATTTTGCGGATTGAATACGCTTTACGTGCCAGTATTTTGACGGATTCTGTGAAACTGTCCATTAAGAAGTATATAACTTTCATTAAATGCTGAATTTTATCCGACAACATTATGTGATCATATATGTAAGCAAATATATAAATAGCTTTTGAGATGACTCAGCAAGCTGAAACTGATAAATTGAAACTTTCCACGTTAAACATAAATATGAAAAATCGGTTTTCCCATTCCACATTAATAATCGTAATAAATATCACTGTAGTAAAATTCCATACCTAATTTGGTCAACGGATTGACTTTGAGTTAATTAATCATGTTCATTTTTTTTCATACAATAAAAATAGTATAATGATTTAATAACTCATCAATATTTTTTATTTCAAGTGACAGACAGTAAACAGACACAATCAAATTTTATTAAAACATTTTGAAATGTAATACTAATACTCATTTACTATACAATTTAGACGTTTTTTGTCCGTGCTTTGGTGTTTTTTCAAAGGGACATTGTTGAACAATTATAAAAAACGTTTTGGCCTCGGTTTAGAAACTGTAGCATAATGATGATAAATGGTTGCATATTCATTCGATTGCAATGAAGTATTATTATGGTTTTGAAATTGATAACGATCCAAGGTTGTGGTGTGCGTTGGTGCATTTTCATAATGTGGTATTCGTTGAATATTGCCAACAGCATATGCTGAAGGCAAAGTTTGCATAAGTTGCATAGGCTCTTTGATCTCTTCGTAGGCAGGCTCAATAAATCCAATTTCATCGGCTGGAACTGTGGTCATGCTTGTGCCTACGCCTGTACCTATGGTTGTACTTACACTTGTGCCTACCACTTGTGCGGATACTTTTCGACAAATATACCAAATGATCATTGCAACAATTACGATGATGATTATAAACACGCCACCAATGATGAAATACACCTGCGTTGGTTGTATTGAATTTGTATTTTTGCCCGAAGATTCATCACTTTCAGTAGTTGCGACCGGAGGTGATGTTGAAGTTGAAGTTGAGTCAGCACTTGTTGTTATTTCAATTGTTGTGGTTTTGGTTGGAGTTGTTGGTCTAGGCTTAGGCTTTTTTGTACTTTTACGGATCGTTGTTGTTTTTTGTGTTGTAGCAGGTTGAATAAGTTCTACATCAATTTCTAAACCATTCTTTACCCATTCGTTTAAAGTATTGTATAAATAAGAAGAACCAAAAAGATTCTCTGAAATTTTGAGTAACCTAAGTTTCGGTAAATTGTTTGAATTGACCATGCCAAGTCTGCTTAATTTATTGCTGACTAAATCCAGTGTTTGCAAGGAAGAAAATACCAATTTCACAGAATCGATTTCTTTTAACAAGTTATACGATAGATCAAGATTGATCAGATTAAACTGTCTAATGAAGGTGTCATTTCCAATATTCGATATCTGCGAATGGCTCAAATTAAGATGTCGTATATGTGGAAAAGGCTCCAACATGCTGACGTTCAATGTTTGAATAGAATTCCATGATAGATCGAGAGTTTTAACGTTCGATCCGATTTTTCCTAATAATTTCGCTACATTTTGCTGTCGATTTCCCGAAACATTAAAAACTTGAATATTCTCGAAGTAATCTTTTTCGTCAAACTGTTTGAAATGACAAATTGACTTCGCACAACTTATATCCAATTCTAAGATTCTACTCGGAAGATGCACTTCAACCAATTTTGCTTTTGATGAAAATGTATTGAAATTGAATTTATTCATTGAAGTGCCTTCCAAGTTTAACATTTTCATATTTGGATTGTTGATAAAACAGTCGTCATCAATTTCTTCGATTTTAGTGTTGCTGACATCTATTTTTTCCAACATATTCAGTGATGAAATGAATGTGGCTTTCAGATTCTTCAATAAACTGTTACCCAAGTTCAAATTTATCAATTTATGATTGTTTGCAAACGTATGATCATTAATGGTTTGAATATGAGAATTGCTCAGATCTAAAGTTTGCAGATTGTGAAGTGATGTAAATATGATAAATTTATCTAAGAAATTATTTCTCAAGTACAGAAGTTTTAAATTTTCGTTGCCTGCAAACAGAGCGTCACTAAAATATCTAAGGTGATTATGGCTCAAATCCAATGTTTCAAGTTGTTTTAAATTTGCAAATGATCCCTTATTGATATTCCAAATGTTATTATTTGAAAAGTTCACCGATAAAATGTTGTTGGATTTAGTAAATTGGGTAAAGTCCACCACTTGAATTTTATTGAAACTGTAATCAATTTCAGTTATTTGTGGCATATGATCCAAAAGGGAATTTGGAAACTGAGTAAACTCGTTGTGCGAAGCTTTTAGTGTTTGAATTCTAGAGATTTGTGATTTGAATTCTAGATATGATGCAGAAACATCTGTCCTGTTATTCTGGCGAATTGTGATTACAAATTTCTCAATCGAAAGATTTTGTATGTCCAACACATTAAGATTCTCGAAAGCGTTCAATACGTCTAGATAGAGCGTTAGCGATGGAATTGGACTTCTGCATGCATACCTTATCAATTTCACACTTGAATTATCGTATTGATTCGAGTTCAGACATCCGTCTATAGTAACTAGATGTTGATCCTGGACACAAATGAATTGAAGGTATACCGTATCACCTGTACGTGAATAGCACTCGATGGGAAAATCGTTGCCTCCAAGTTGAGCTTCAATCAATAGTACTAAAAAACCAAAAACTATGGCGTGCTTCATTTCGACGCTTTGTGCAAGTTTCAAGTGCAAATATTCCAACTGACTGTGCGATACTGGCCGCCATGAAAACTGTGTCCAACTCTATGCTTAAACGATAAATTATTCATTTTTGCGAAATGAGTATGACTCGCAGATAAAAAAAAATATTTATAATTCCCTAGAGAAACATATTGATGGATGACAAAACAAATTTCGATGTAAAATTCAAAATTCTGTTCATATTCCAATCAAATGATTCAAACAAAAGAATTTGCTTTTTACTACCGAATGTCAACACCGTGAGCTGTTCTTATTTCTCAATGAAGCATCGGACTTGTCATCACACGCATAGATGTAGCATTTCACTTATTTTAGCAATTCGTTAGTTGCCGAAACATCATATATGCAGTT